CCCCCCACCCCTGTTTTAACACATGCCGCAATGCCCTCTCGAAATGGCGCAATCCGTATTCATGGCCGCATGAATGATTGCCTACTTTCCCACTTTTGGTGGCATTCTATGCTCAGTGTCATGCGAAAGATCCATACACAAAAAATAGCACCAACAGTTCGCGACGACGTAGCAGCTGCAGTCCTAACGTTTTGCCGGTTTGAAACCGCCAGCGAGCCACTACGTAGCCTAGATGACGACCTCAGCGAAAGTAAACATGTTCATATCTAGTTAGTGCATATGAGGACGAAAAAATAACTGCCAGCCTAGAGGGTTCATCAATTCCCAGAAATGACCAGACACGTTTGATAGCAGCAGCATGCTGTCTGATCCGGAAGAGAACGACGTTTCTCTCTTCACTGTATGTGCTTTCCTCCTGTTGCGGTTCCGGTCGAACTTTCTGAGCATGAACACACTAATCATATTCGTAGTTAGACAGAATAGATCAGATTAACGACAGCTAACCTTGGATATCGTCGTCGTTCACGACCAAGATCTACTGCAGAACTACACAGCTGTTATATGAGATGTGAAAAATACAAGTATTTCATGCATGCCATTTGTCATAAAAGGGACACATGCCAACTTCGTCATACTGTCGCCTGTGATGCACCAGCTACAGCGAATCTAAAGACGCCTAAAACCGTTTCACACTGGCCTGAACTACTTTTCAAACATCACACACGAAGGAAAATTGTCTGCCATGTAATGCACGTCTCAGATTACCGTACCTGCGCTGTAAGACACTATGCAACATGCGGTTTCGTTGCCGTTGATGACTGTTGAGGACGGTAAACGACGTGAAAACCTTCAGATCAGCAAATGACCATAATCCTTAGTTTCGGACAGTTTCACTGTGAGCGGCTATGGTAGGATCTTTCATCAGTTTACCAGTACGATTGCGACGGTCAACCTCATCAACTCATCCACATGTCAGCATTGGCTGACATCATCAAACCAGCTGTATGATGTGCTAATAAGAAATCAGCTGTTGCTCAGAATTTGTGCAAACGATCATTCTGGTCTAGTCAGAAAGGCTCTAAGACGTCACATGCAAATAAAGCATCCGGAAGGCACTGTATCTTATTCTTAGTGATCTCAGTGCACATCCACAGCTTTTTATTTCTATATTTTCCGTGCTCGCCCATTGAAAGAGCTAAACGTGTTCTGTTGTTCCAGGAAGACTTAAGAATGTGAGCTTAATCGTAGGCATATTTTATGTACCGATGAGGCCCTACTCTAATCAGTGAACCCTACCGCGCGACTAACAGCTCATCAAGCGCCTCTCTTTCTGGATCTCAATGTACTGGTCGAGGATATGGAGAACGAACGGTTGTTCACGTACCTCAGCACTGTGAATGAACTGCCTATGAAATTCGCCAAAAACGCCAAAACACACATTAGAATATCGGGACCGTAGGTGCAAGCCGTCGCACCCGTTTGCCAAAAACCGGGAGAACTTACGACCCGGTGATGGTCAGGACACGACAAACAAACGACAAAAGGATATCGTCAATGTCTTTGCGGCTAGCCAGGACACTAAACTCATCATCGAGGCGAAGAAACTCAAGGCAGACGTTCTCGGCATGTGGAAAACCCGAAGACTTGCCGATTTTATTGCCCAATGTTACAAGGAATGATCAGATATGCCTGAATAAAGCGTAAGGAAAACCGGGCTCGACAGGCAGAGTAGGTTTCATTGTACAGAAAGGACTGTTCCTCTGGTAATCAACTGCAACCTCATGTCACCTCGTGTCCCAATGCTAATTTTGCGAGTGTACAAGAAGAAAGATCGTCAAAGATAATCAAAGCCCAATAGGGCAAGCGAATGATGAAAAAGTAGAGCAGTTCTATGAGGAACTGGAAATCACAAGGCAAATAATGTCCAAGTACACAACCCTACAAGGAAACAACTGAGAGAGAGCATTTCATCGATCGATTTGGAAATGGAGAGCGAAATGTACGCGGCTCACGCCTCATACGGTTTGCGAAAAGAACCCGACTGCATACCATGAATACCATGTTTCATAAAGCTGAAAAGAGGTAGTGGAGGTGAAGGAGCCTTGGCGAAACGACCCAACCTTAATCAAATTGACTACAAGCTGAGGAATGCAAGAGGCAATAACAGATGCATCCCTTATTGGAGAAAACACCTCTGCAAAGAGTCAGACCATAGACTGCTCCTCTCCACACTCACAATCGATGTCGCTATAGAAGATCTAGTCAGAAGGTCTCAAAGGCCACAGACCTTTGAACGAATGTACAATTTTGTACCTCACAGGAGATATCAGCAGAGGCATCAAGGTAGACTACCAACATCTGGTCGCGTACAAGGGTATCTTCCTAAAATAGCACTGAAAAGACAGGATTCCGTCTTTTAGCATTAAAGGACGAGAGAGGTACAAGAACCACAGGTTGTTGTCGCATAAAACATTATCCGACATGAAAACTCTCTGGGAACCGCGTCGAATCAGTATCAGAATTGAAGTACACTAAGCTGACACCATATGTGCATTTTGCCATGGCGCTGGAATTCCTCTTTCTTCGTCTACGGAGGTAGCCGCATTAACATCGAGGAAAACGGCTCACCGAGCTGCGCTTGGCAAAAGACTCGTCAAGTTCCTCATACACCCAGCCGAAACTCTAAAAAATGACTGTCTAGGGATGAACAGGCAAAAAACTCGCTTAACACAAATACCTCGGACGGCGAACGCACTCAAGCTACAGCATCAACAGAGAGACAGGCGGAAGAAGGAAGATGGCATCAACAAATTTGAATCTAAGCATCGCTGTTGGATAACGAACTGTGCATGTCCACGAAGAAAGAACAGCTCGATTCCTCCACCCCCTGTGCTGACAAAGTACCATGAATGCAGTGGCAGAGAGACCAGTAATAACTAGCAAAAGGCAGTAGAAACAGAATATGCAATGTCTCCCTTCGAAACCATGTTCCAAGCGCGATAGTTCAGCACTGGAGACGATTTTTGGATGCACTCGTTGCTGCGTATAACGAAGAAAATAAACGATGAGCTCGCAACGTGGTCCCTCTGAAAAACAGCAGGTACTCATCCCATCTAGAGTTACTAACTCGTTCTCCCTCAGCAAAGGACGTTCACCAGGTCGCTCGATCAACACGATGGTAGAACAAATCGAAAAAGCTGTTTGGTCAACGGTGATAGCAAAAGACACACCAATGAAAAGGGTGGAGAAACGTCGACTTGCGTCCGCGGCGCTGCCGTTCACAAAAGCAAATGACATAGATGGATTTTTAATGTAAGCGCAATTGTAGAGGAAAGCACGTCACTCCATTTGCAAATACGTCATGGGCATGTAACAGTCGGAAACTTCATACTGTAAATATTTCAGAAGTGAAAGGTGACACAGAAAGCGGTCTGTCTTGAAGAGAGCACAAAAACACAGTTGTGCTGATGAAAGTGTGACGTTCGAAGAAAGCAAACGAAGCATCAAGGGGTACGCCATGGTAACAGCTTTACGGTCAACAACAAATGTAGTACTCACCACTACCATGTAGTTGAGGGGGTACTGAGCAGCAATCGACATCTCTGAGCGACAGGGACAAGAACGATCTTCCGTAACACCTTGATCGTTTGATGAAGTGGCTTTGGGTACGGTATCTGTTCTGCGGTGGCGGTGGTTCACGAAGGTGACCGGCGGCGAACGCGGCTGCGCGCACATCGCTGCGTTAGCAGGAAACGGGAACGAAGAGAGGATGCCGCGAAGCAGCTTTTCTATGTCCGCCTGGATACTGTCTTTGCTGTCGGCCAGTTTCTGGAGGTTACGCTCGAAGGCTTTGTTCGAGGGCCATTTGTGGCACAGGAAAGAGCGCTGTACGTGTTCCGCCTTATACACGCCGCACTTGCCGCCCACCGTCGGCTTTATCACGTAATCGGTCGGTGCCAGCTCTGCTGGATCGACCTGAGAACGATTCAGCAGCAGCTGCTGTGAGGTAGCGATCGGTCTACCAGCGGCGGCGGCGGTGGTGGTACAGTGCCTTCGTTCGAGAGGCTCGTACGCGTCGTCCTCTGTTTGTACCTCTTGTAAGGCCAGAGAATGTCGTCCGTGAACGCATCCCATCGATAAACCGACCAAGCTGCAAATGGTTAATAATTTAATAGCACGTTCGTGGACTACTGTCTTCAACAGTGACACCGCATACGAACGGTGGCAGCCTGGGCAAACAGCCAAACCGCCAACTGACTACTACCAGCTGCAGTTGTTCATGCGCACAAACGGCGCTGTACGCTGCAGCACTGTTGCTCGTTGTGAATACAACGCCAGTAAAAACAGATTCGCACCGTGATTCCTGGCTTCAACGCCTCTCCATAAAACTGAGCACTCATTAGGCCGAAGTTCAACGACCACCAAACGCAACTGTCAGCACAATATGCTTTGGGTCGGGCTGACCTCTCATAAACTATACTAATCTATAAGGGGAAACTTGAACCGTGAACGCTCAATACGTCCCAATCCTCTACTACTCATTTAACTCATAAGTTCATGTGCGAAGGGCGGCACTCACCTCTATTATATCCCACAAAATGAAGCCAATAAATGCAGTAACACCATGATCGTATCGACGAAAAAAATGCTTAATTTCCTGCTGTAAATAAACGGCGTACACGCCTAAGCAACTGTTTAACGCACATCATGTCACAATCCTCCCGATTTCTTTACTACAAAGTTACTATTTTAGATTTTTACCAACATATCATTTTTAACTCACACGCTGGCACAGGATCGGGAATCTTGACGTACTGCCAGAGACATTTACCTTCACGAAAAAAGAACCGATAAGAGCGATCTAAACTCTCTACCTCTATAGCTGACAGACAGACAGACAGACAGACAGACAGACAGGCAGACAGACAGACAGACAGACAGACAGACCGACGACAGACAGACAGACAGACTTGGGAGTGGACTAAAACAACCTAGGTGATTTGAGAATGTGACAACACTTAAAGTTTACATTGAAAAAAAGCGCTGCAAATGATACAGTAGCCTGGCAACGTTATATTATTATATTGCTTAAGTTTGTGCAGAGTATTAACCCATTATGAACGGGCAGCAACATATTTGCGTGAATGGTCAGCAACTGAAAATGCGTTTCTTTGCATGAATAGAATTTCTGGAAAGCCTAATTTTCCACCATAAATAAAAGAAACATTAGTGCAGTCGAGGGAATACAAAAATGATTAGCAAAGGTAAAGAAACAGGCAATGTTGTGAGCAAATATGTGAACAAGACTTCCTGACAAACAGAAGAGCCGAAGTTCTTTAAGATTCAGACGTAAAAACATTGTCTGGAATCATAAGCTGAACCCATAACTGAGAATTGAGAGACCAGAGTCTCCCCTCAGCGAATGATTCAGAACAGCAATGACGCGATAAGGATTTGATATAATGACAAATGGCCGTTCATGCCGAAATTTTGAATGGACTGTGGTTTTGGGTTCTCGGGTATGCTTAAATAGTAGCGGCGTACTTTTGCCACGCCACAATGCTGTATTTGTTGCAGAAAGTTTCGTTATAGGTTTATTCATCGTCCCC